GGCAACAAACAATCGAAAGTTGGTACTTGAAATATATAAATATATATAAACACTCGTGGTAAAAAAGGCGGCAAAATTCAACTCAAAATCTATCAGGCTTGGACAGGAATGGCGTGCGATCGCAACCTGTAACTGACCACGCTAATAGTTTTTTTTCTTTACAACTTGACCACGGCTATTTTGATGTTTTAACAATTTAAATACAATAAAAAGTGTTGCGTTATGAATAACTTTTAATCATTAATCTTTTCTAAAGTTTTTATTTTACGCAAAGGCTTTAAAATAAAACCATATAATTATTTTTTTTAATGATTGTGTACATAAACACGTGTGTAAATTAATAAAAAATGTTATATATAATTTTTTTTTTATGTAGGAATTTATTTTTTATGATAAATTTAAACGTTTTAAACTATTTTCCCATGTCTTCTTAAAAATATTTAAAGCATTAATTTTAGAAAGATTTTTTTAAAGTTACTTTAATTTATGAATAAGTTCAAAACCTTTTGCGACTACTAGCTTTTACACATTTACATTTAGCTTTTAAATGTGAATTATACAAGAATATAAAATAACTTTATTTACTTATATTAGCATGTATTTTGTAATGTTCATAAGATTAATTTTTATAATTAAACTTACAATTTTTTTAAATCTTTTTAAACCAAATTTTTTTTTTCCTGTTACCATAGGAATGAATGAGTTAAAATCCATGTAATAAAATATCAAAACTTGCAACACTTAAATGAAAATTCTAAACTGAAAGTTAAAAAAAATAAATATCTAATGTAATATTTATAAGTATCTTATATACAAATATCTAGCATAAAAAATCTATCAAACTAAAACTTCACTTATAGCTTTGATTTGTTACAGGTTTGATCACATTCTATTAATTAATGACTATTATATTTAAAATTCAAAAACAATAAAATGTTGGAATATGAAGTATTTTTTGTCAAATATAAGTTAATAAACTAAGTATTTTTACTGATATCTTTGAATCGGTTAAGCATATATTAAAGTCTATTTATTAAAAAAGTTAAAGCTAAATAAAACTAAAAATTAAAAAAAAAAAGTTTGAATAAACAATATGTAAACAAATATATTTGTTTATAACTTTGCGTTGAAACTTTTGGAAGCGTCCTTACAAACAACCAAAGAAAAAATGTAATGCCACTAATTTCATAAACACACTTATCAAGAATGATTATGTGAGCTCATTGATGATGTGATTCAGTATTACAATTGCAAAATTTTTCACTAGGTGATTTTATTTATCACATACGCTGGATATATATTGTGGTGTTAGAATAATAGGGTTCTAACTCCATTTTTTAACGTTAAGAGAATTTAACTTTTGATTTTTAAGTATTTATTTTACAGCTGTTGTTAATATTGATAAAATATATGTTTTAAACAATATTTATGTTTTATATTTATGTTTTATATAAATTAATTTTACATTATTAGTTTTATAACTTTCAATATTGCTTGTTTACAAATTAATTGTTAATTCCAACTTTATTAAATTAAGTTAAAATTATATAACATTCTTATTTAAATAATAAATAATATTTTTTTTTTTTTTTTATAACAGTTTAATGAATGCTTTCGAATCTTTTCTGTAGTGCACATTCCAAAACGCTCATTCCATAAAAACTGTTTCGGAAGTATTCTTTTGAAATATTTTTTTTCACAAGTTTCTTTTTGTAAACCGTTATTATGGAATCATTATAATTTTTTTCTTATAATGCATTATGGAAGGTGAGTTTGCGCATGTACAACTTCCAAAATAGCTTTTATAATTACAAAAGAAAAAAATGCGTTATATAAGTTTTTGTTTTTTGGCAAACAACCCTACTTAAAACTGTTTTTTTTTTTTTTTTGCTTTGCTTTATCTAATTTTGTTGCCAAAAATAACAACCATTTTAAAGAAACCAAAATAAAAATAGTGCACAATTTTTTTTTGTTTTTTTTGTTTTATTCTATTTAAATTTATTTTAGTTTCTTATTTTGTTAGTTATGCTATCTTTGTTTTTGAAGTTTTTTCTATAACGCTCAATATGAAAAAACTTGCAAAATGCTGTGACCAAGTTGTCTAAAATAAAATACTCATGCGTGGACATGCAAAATGAAAACCGCACATTTCCTCGAGAGGCTTGTAACTGACTTCTATGTATTCTTTGTTTTGCATTCAGTTGATTGGACAGTTGTCATAAATACTGCATGAGAGTATGAGTTTAAGACCTTTCTCATATTTGTTAAGTTTATTTTTAAAAATTTTGATATTATCAGGCTGTTCCATTTATTCACTACCTTATTTGTAAAGAAATGCTTTCTTGCTCTGATATGCAAATATTTTGTTTGTGCAACCGTTGATTATGACCTCTTATTTTTTGATATAAATTGTTTATTAGTAAGTATCTCTTGTTAACTTAATAAATATCTTTTTTTATTTTATAGTATTCTATTATATCCCTTGTTTCTCTTCATTTTTCTAAAGTTGTAAACCCAAATTCTTTTAGTGGTTGTTCATAGCGCATACCCTTTGATGACATAACTCTTCTTCATTGCACTTTTTCTATTCTGCTGTCTTTTTCATGATAAGGATTCCAAATTGGTGAAGCATATTTCATGTTGGAACGAACTAATGAACAGTTTCATTAATTTTTTTTCTATGTATTTGACCTAACATTCTGTTTGCTTTTCAGGAAAAGCAAACAGATAAAGAAACAAAAATGATAAAGAAACAAAAGATTATGCTAAGATAAGATTGTTTTAATAAATAAATTATAAGGAAATGAAATCTTTTTTAAATACTGAAATTAGATTTCAACAGTAATTTTTGTTATATTAATTTAATTTTCAACGCAGTTTAAAATTGAATTAAATTACGCTGTACTTTAAATTATGCTAATAGTGCAATTTAACTTTTAACGATGAAAATAATAAAGATGTGTTAAATTATATTCATTAGCATTGAGCTTTTTCGATATGCAATAAAATCTCGTAACAAGGCCCAAGGCTAAAGCATTGCATATATTAATACAATTTTTATGAATAAGACAACAGCAGATTTTATGAGGAATCTCTGAATATGCTTTTGTTTGAGCTGGACAAAGTTTTATTTTGCTACCAAATCCTTCTGTGTACAAGTTATAACATTACCTTGATTTAATTAACAAGAAACATTTTTGTAATTTTTTCATCATCAATTTTTAGAAAGTCTTTCATACCTGGATTCCAATTAAGAAATTTTTTCGCTGTTGTAAAACTCTAGTACACGGTTCAAAGAAGATAAACCGATGCGTTTTTTTTATCTTTGGTATATATGGTAAAAAGATTTTTCTTGCAAATTATCTGCTTTTTATGGTGTTAATTCAATTAAACACGGTTCACAGCAATTGCTTCTGACAAACTTAAATGATAGGCTTGCTTTATTTTAATGAAAAACAAGGAATATTATTGATATGTTGAGCTTTTTGAAAATCTCTGTGTTTACGTTATTGTAATTTAGCAAGCTCCTTTGATTGTTGGCAAGCAATACTACTTCATTTTTTTTTTTTTTGTTTCTTTTAATTTAGTTGTTTTTTCTTTCTCTATAATCTTGTTTGTGCAAGCTTCTTTGTGCAAAGTAACAAATTACTGATAATAATTTTTGTTTAAAGTATCAACGAAGAATATATATAATTTTTTAAATTATATTTTACAAATTATATAAGTATGTGTTTTTTGAAAGTGTTATTTAAAAAATATTTAGATTTTATAAACAACAACCTTTTTAGACAACAATAGTCTCTTTAAAGAAATTTGTAAAAAAATCATTTCAATCAATAATCAAGTCAATACACTCAAAAAAAATAAAAAAAATTTGCTGAAGAAAAGTAACATATTTTTGAACGTTGTTACAATTAAATAACTTAAATCTTTTCTGTTTTATTATTGAAATGCTTTTAAAATCACTACTCATAATTTTTTATTTAAAGTATTGAATATTTAAATATTTATAATTAAGTATTATTCTGTTCATTTATAGTTATGTATTATTCTAAACATAATTAAAAACTTGATTTAAATGTTAGTGTTTTTTTTTGTTATGAGATGACTTTTTTTTAAATGAAGTTTATTTAAAAGTTTTTTTTAGTTAAGTCCAAATAAATTTTTTCATAGTCATAAGAAATAGATAAAGAAATATTTTTTTTTCACTTTTTTTTTTTTTTAACTGCTGTTTTTCTGTGCATTTTTAAAATGTTTAAGTTCTAAAAACATGTTAACAACTATGGTCAAATTGTCAAAACAAAGTTATTATTTTCATGATCATATAATGGTGTACGATCGCACACCTTCCTGTGAAGGCCTGAGAAAATGTCAAAAAAATTATTATCTTCTACAAATGCATAACAGTGAATAACCCAGAGTTTATTTGTTTTTGTTTTTTTAATTTTTTTTGGCAACATGGGGGTGTTTTTTAGATTCTTGAGCCCCACTCTCCTCTAGTTAAAATTAGTGCAGTGATAATGGGTTTGAATAGTTACAAATAATGATTCAAAATCATTGTCGCTAATATTCTATTGTCATAAAGCTAAACTAGATAAACAAATATTCAGTTTAAATATTTTTGAAAAATGACAATCTTATATGGAATGATCTGTTTATTGTTAATTTTTAATTATCTGCAGCGCTAGTCATGAAGTATTAGAAGCATCTGTTTTACAAGATTTCTCTGGCTAGTCAAAAAAAAAACTTGAATGTATATAAAATGTATTAAAGTAAATTAAAGTGATGTGTGTAGAAAGTTTTAAAATATTTTTCTTTCATATCATGCATAGCTTTAAAAAATTGCTGAGTTTATTTTACATAATTTTTAATAGTTATAAATATTTGTTATGTTTATCTTACAAAAAAAATTAATAAATAAATAATTAGATTTTAGTATGAGTTAATAAAAAATATTATATGTTAAAAATAATTTTTTAAATTCAAATATTTTTAATCAGGTAAGTGATGATGAAGATGAAACTCATCCTAATATTGATACCCCAAGTTTGTTCAAATGGAGACATGAGGCTCGTATACAAAAAATGGGTGACCTCCAATCAAAAAAAGATCAGTTGCAAAAGAGTATTGAAGCGTAAGACTTTTTTTTGTTAACAACGTTTTTCTAGTTTGTACTTTTTTAACCAATAATGATTGATTAAAAAAAAGTATAAAAATGGAGTCTATAAATTGGTATAATACTTTATTACCTAATACGTATCTTGAAAAATAATTTTACTTATTTTAAGGATCTTTTTTTTTTTTTTAATGTAAAAACATACTTTTTTTAATCAAGTCAACACACTTAAAAATTTTGTTGAAAAAAAGTAACATATATTTTTGAAAGCCATTACAATTAAATAACTTGAATCTTTTCTAATGTTTTTTTATCATTAAAACGCTTTCAAAATCGCTACTCTTAATTTTTTATTTAAAGTATTGAATAATATAATTTTTTTGTTAACAATGTTTTTCTAACTTGTGCTTTTGTAACCAATAAAGATTGATTAAAAAAAGTATAAAAATTGAGCCTATAAGTTGGTATAATACCTTATTACCTGATAAGTATTATGAGTTTTAAGAATCTTTCTGTTTTTCTCATGTAAAAACATACTTTAGAAAATCATTTACAATGATTATTTGTTTAGTAATAAAAAATAATTTGTAACAGACAGAATCTGATTCACTCAACATATATGAAAATTGCATAAATATAGTTTCAAAGCAATAGTTGCAAAAAATTAGTTTAGCACAAAATATATGTTGATGATATCTTTTGTATCTTTGAAAATAATGATGGTGCTAAGAACATCCTAACTTCAAATAAGAGGAAGAAATCAATCACAAATTGAACTTTCTTGATATAATGAATAATACTTTAATGTTATATAAAACTTACACAGTTTTTTAACCTTTAAACTTAAATTGACAAAACCCTAAAGTATTTTCTAAACAACCTTATCTCTCCTAAAGAATGTCATCTTCAAAATCTATTACATTATATTATATTTTAAACTCCCTTATATTGGACAAGATTCAAACACACTTTAATATCAATTAAATAAATATATTAAAAAGTGTTATAAAGATAACATAAAAGAAAGACTAGTACTTACTGAGCAAATAATTGTTAAAACTCAGTTTAGTAAAAATCAGAAGTTTACTGAAAGGTGAAGTTGTCTTTGGCTTTGACTTCCATGCTGAATTTGAAATAGAAATTCAGCTTTCAGTTAAACTCAGTAGCATTAGCATAATTTCATTTAACTTTCATTTAAATTTGAAAGTTAATTTTTTTTAAATCAAGAAGAAAAATAATTTTTACATATTATTTTATGTTTCATGTATATTAACCTGTGTCTCCGCACAGCAGCTTTGTTTGTCAAGATTTGTATTTCCAAGTTAAAGAGTTGAGAGATGGTTGTAATCACTATTTAAAAGAAAGGAAAAAAAAAGTAGCATTCTCAGCTAAAGTGGCCATCTCAGCCTTGGGAACATGAATTCTGTAAAAAACAAAAATAACATTAGAAAAAGATATGTCTTAAACCCGAATGTCAATAACCAAAAAGTCTTCTTTAAGCACAAAGTCTATTCATAACATTAAATCTTATCGCTTTCAAAAAATCTTAAATGTAAAAAACAAGTGAAGCCATCATACAGGATTTCAGAACATCTATATTCAAGTCCTATATTTACAGACATCTTGCTTCATTACAAAAATGTAAAAATTCAATAAATCTTGAATCATTTTCCATTATTGACAGTTTACATGATCTTTTTTTTAAATGAAGTGACTTTTTATTTGATGACTGTCAATAAAAGCACTGTATGAAAAGTTTTTGAATATTTCAATTTTTAAATATTTAAGTATTTTAAAACTAAAAGTTTGAAAATACTTTTTGTATAAATATTTAAAATTTTTTCACATATTTGTATTTTAGTTCATCTAATTTTATATTATAAATTTTATCATTGAATAAATTATTATGTATGTAAATTTTAAATAAATTTATAGTGATTTAAAAATTGCATTAAATAAAATTACATTACACGAACCTTAGGGAACAATTGCATTAAAACTACAGATGATATTTAAGGCTTTAAAATGTTGTCAGCAATAAGTAAAAAAACTTTTTTTAGACTAGATTAGCTTTTAGATAAAAAAAACTTGCTTGGCTTTCCAATGTCAAGCAAGTAGAATGTTTTTACCAAAACTTTCTTTGCAATATGCTATTTTAGAGTTAAACAATTATTACACAACAAAGACATCTAAGGTAGATACACAGCAAAGACATTTAAGGGTCAGAATAAGATTTGTTCATCGCACAAGGGCAGCAAGAAAATTTAAGCAGTGAATTTAAATATCTAGTAAATTTTGTATTTGAAAAATCTAAAGAAAAATTAATTTTGTATTTATAAATTTTGTTTTTGTAAATTAAACTTAAGGTGTGAATATATAAATAGATATTGATGGCGGTGCCATCAATATCTATTTTACACCAATCATTTTTATACTTATTCCTTATTTACATCAATATTTTTTAGTAAGCTAGAAATAAATCATTTAAAAAAGAGCAAAAAATAAATAAAATGCACACCTTTTCCACATACATAGAGCGCATTGTCCTCTGTATTGACATCCTGACAAGGTTATGGGTTCAAATCCACCGCCAAGCATCTTTTTTTGATTTTTTTTTTGCGGTTTTTAAAAATTCAAAACAATACAGTTAAAGCAAAAAAAACTTATTTTTTTTAGTAAATTTTTAAAAAGTTATGTTTTTATAAGTTATACACGATCATTCCATACATGACTCACAAACTCAACTTAACATACTGATGTTTACACTTATAAATGTTTTTACATATTGTTATATAAGTGTATTTTTTTACATTTGCTTATAATATGTATTTTTTTACTATTATATTATTTAGAAATGCTATGCAATTAAGTTGTGCTTATTTAGAGTAACTTCCTTGAAAAGTGTTGATTAATTGCAATTCATATAATATATTTATAAAATAGTTTGTTTTTTACTTAAATTTTTATCATTAACTCCTCAGTGGTTTAGTGCGCTGTCACCGGTGTTGTTTCCAAAGGTTCAAATCCACCCTTTAGCATTATACATTTTTCAATATTTTAAATTTTACTATATATATTTATAGAAAAGACCTAATTGTTAAAATAAAATTTTTTTAAAGAAGTATTTTAAATCAAGTTTTTACATTTCATTTTAGTCTTTAATTATTTTATTCTTTCTTTAGAAATAATGAAAAAAAACAGACAATGACATCCAAATTAGAAGAAGCAAAAAAAAAAAATGATACTGAACAAATTAAAGTTTTAGAAAAATCATTAAATGATGTCTTGTTAGAGGTAAATTAAATATTTAACGTGAATTGCTTGCAAGTTATTAAAAGTCTAAATTCCCAAAAGATACTGAGTATAGAATTTAAAAAAGTGACTAGAAATTTAGATGGATATATTTTCATTAGAGTAGATTGTATTTTAAAAATAAAAGTATTAAAATGCACTTTTATAGTGCAAATATTGTAAATGTTAACATCTCAAAAAACAAAAAACTTTGAATTTTATTTATTTAAAAGATGCAAAAATTGAAGAACTTTGATTTTCCGATGATATTTTTTTATCAATCTTCAATTAATTTTTACATTTTATGTGTTTTGAAAAAGCCTTAGCATTTTCTGATTTCAAGTGGTATGTAATAGAGCATATGATGATATGGTTGTCAGATATTTTATCTGTTACATTTTTTTTCTACTATATAGGGCGCTGGATAAGTAGGGCAAAGATACAAAGTATATAAAATATATATAAATTGACATCAATTATCATCAACTTTGCAATTTTATTTGCAAATTTTTTTTCAATTTAAATTAAATTTAGGGCTGTTTATACAATAGGACTGGCCCAGTAAACCAAGCTGACTTGAAAAAAATTAAGTTAACAAATAAATGTTTCCATTGAAATTTTAATTTGAATTTGAATTAGACATTTTTAATTTTATTTAATTGGTTGCTTTAAAAACAATCAGGAATGTCTTTGATTAGATAAAGAAATGGCATGATTTATTCAGCTACATTCATTAGTAGGGCTGGCTCACTTGTTTTGTTTATATAGAAACAAATTTACTCACATTGGAGTGGAATTCCAATGAATTTAGGCAAGGTCTCAGTAATCCAGGCTAGCCTGTTTGTCATGTAAACAAGTTTCATTTTTATAGATTATTAAATATAGTGAGATCTTGCTTAAGTTAATGAGGGTACAGCTCTAAAACTCATTTATGGTTCTGGTTCTGGCTAATAGTTAGGTTTCCTAAACTCTGTGGTTGCTTTCAGAGGGGCTGATTCTATCAACAGCTGCAAAATATTAAAGTACAAACAGTGCCATATTGCACATGGATAGTGTCCTTGTTTGTTCTTTTGGTGTGCATTGTCGAGGCCACATTTGGAGCCCTTTGTTACTTAGTGTTTATTTAATAATAATGAAGCAGTTGCTTGGACTATTAAATAGTGTACTGAGTACTATCTGTACTTTAAGTCAAGCTCTTTAACAAATTTAAAAATGACTAAAGTACCAAAAACTATAAAACACAGAAATATCATTGTCATCACCAAGTTCTCTAAATCGATCATTCACTAATATTCATGGTCTTTGGAGTAACTTCTCTTTTGTTGAGTCTTATCTCTTGCAAAGTTTCTACTTGCTCCAGTGAGACTAATTTAAGTTCTGCTTTCTCATCTTGTGATCTTGTTGATGGTTATCTTCCTTTAATTCTTAAAGACTCCAATAGTTACATGCTTAGCCTGGGCATTTATATTTGTATGAATATACCCATTTGTCGGGAAACTAGATTTGAATCCACTGACTATTCTTTCATGTGCTTTTGTTTAACACCACTTCACTATCACCTTTCTCTTTGTTCTATATCGCTCTCCTTCATCTCAAGACTGCACTCTTTTCAATGTTATTTCTGATCAAATTGACCGAGCCCTTTTTCTTTATCCTTCAGTCAATATTATTCTTGTTGGAGACTTTAATGCTCATCACATTAAATGGCTTGATCTCACTAAAACTATAAACTCATTCTTCTTCATCATCAGAATTCCCCTATCATCAAAACTCTTACAACTACCATAAAGCTGACTGGGACTCTTTCCATGATTTTCTTTGTGACGGCCCATCGGTAAAAATCTTTCCTCTTCCTGCTGACCAAAGTGCTTCTTACATAATTTCTTGGATTCAGGCTGGTATGGAATCTTTTATTCCCTCGTGATGATTCTAAGTCAAGCCTCTCTTCTCAATGTTTTTCAACTTATTGTGCTGCTGCAATTTCCAATCGAAGCCATTACTTCCATATCTATCAGCAAAACAATTCTCTAGAAAACAGACATCTGTTTACTACTATTGGTAGAAACCATTGTAAAAATATTTTGTCCAATCCCAAAGCCCGCTATTCTCAGGTCACGAAATCTCGTATTTCATCTCAAATAATAGGCTCTAGTGACTTCTGGAGAATTTTTAACAGTATCATAACAAGGGCAAATCTGTTATTCCACCTCTCTTGTATGTTTCAGATTTTGTCACCTCACCTAAAGACAAAGCTAAGTAGTTTGATAAGAACTTTTCATCAATATTATCTCTTGATTCCACTAGTTGTGTTCTACCTTATACAGCGGACAAAATAGTTGGGGCAGATCTTCCAATCATGCCCTTTCTATTTTAAACAAGTTGCAAAAATGCATTGTAAACATAGTTGGATCTGCTCTTGCAGCCGACCTCCAACCATTATTACATCATCATAATGTTGCAAGTTGTCTGTCAATCGTTATCTTACTTGTTATCTAAACTTTATCTTTTCACTTCCAGTAATTTCCAAATCTAATAATGGTTGCTTGCAGCTTTTTTGAAAGTGAAGATGTTGAAGAAAAAAAAGCGAGCCAGCCTAACTAACCAGGCTAGCCCGCCTCATATAAACAGCCTCTAATTAAAATAAGTTTATATTTATTAGGATTAAAAAATAAATTTAATTTAAATATAATAAAAAAAGAAAGTATAAAAAAAATATTTAAAGGACTGTTTATATAAGCCAAGCTATCCTGTTTAGCCAAGCTCACAATTGTTATCTATAATTAAAAAACTTTGTTACATGACAAATAGTCTGGCCCTGATAGCTAGTAGAAACTATTTACTGATAGGTCAGTAAATAAATTACTCCATTTAGTGATTCAAAATATTTAGAAAATTTGGTAAAATGATCTTTTGGCCAAATTAATCTTGATATGTTGATTAAGATGTTGAATTGCTTGAAATATTTACTTAGATCATGTTTAAAATTTGAAAATAGTTATGATAATTATTTTGATGACTGTCAAAGAATATTTTTTCTGGTCAATTATGATCTTTTGGTGTATTGTTGATGTTGTTTCTTTGCTTCCATAATGGCATTATCAACTCTGAATACAAATATCTTTGTGTATTAAGTCTTGCATAATATATGACTTGATGCTGAATGCACATAATCACTTGTTAATAACATGTTTCAGTTTTACGGGTGCCAAATATCGCACTGGGCAATTTTATTCATCACATGCACTGATATATATATATATATATATATATATATATATATATATATATATATATATATGCCATTTTCGATTTAAATATATGGCTGATGCACTCATCAGCCATACTTTTAAATCAAGAAAAAACAGTTTAAAAATACAATTAAAAAACCATTACAAAATTCAAAAAAAACAATGGAATGAGTTCTGATGTCAAATAATAATAATAACTAGCAGTAAGCAACCCGTAATACGGGTTAAAAATAACTAAACCATTAGTAACAACAAAACTTACTACGTTATCTAAAAATATATATCTAAATACAAATTTATCTGTAAATAATTTTACAGATAAATTTGTATTTAAAGTTCGGCTCCCTATTAGCTATGTCATTGCTTATAGTTATAATTATTTTATAAAACAGCAAACAACGCGTAAAGTATGTTTATAGGCGGTCATTATCAATAGTGTTAAGAAGTACGCAAGAGCTCCGTACTTATTCAGGTTTTATCTCACTTTATTAATTCTTATTTAAGTGAGACTAAGACAGTGTTTCCAAGGCACCGTGTTAGAAAAAGACATAATAATTAACTTAAGGGAGTTACTGTTAAATATGACAAAAACTTTTTTTTTTTATATATATATTTTTTTTAGAGTGAAGTTTTTAGATGTTTTTTAGTTTTATTATCATTTAGTTGAAATTTTCCTTAACATCTTTAAATTTTTTGGAGCAGTTAAAAAATTTTATAATACTTATATAAATGTTAACTTCTAATGTCTAACGGGACACTTATTAATTTTTTTGGTAACCCCCTCTCCTTTATTAAGGAATTCTATTTAACTTAAAAGCGTTTAATGTGCGCATAATTAAATTTTAGTTAATTACATAAAGGTCTCTCCATCATAGATGAAAAATGCATTTTAAACAGAAATTTTCAAATATTTCATGCTTCTAAAATCCGACCCTTCCGTTTATTACAAAATCACAAATTTATTTAATAATATTTTTTTTAACAAAACTTTATTATTTAATAACAAAACATAATTATTATTTGTGTTCTCCTGTATCGCATAAATACGTCACATGGTGTCTAAAAGAAAAATGTAATAGATAAGTAAATATAATAGAAAAGAAAAACATTTTTAAAACAGGAAAACAATTAACCTGTTTTTGGCAAACTGCAGTTGCTGTTTTGATGAAGCAATTTTTAATGGTGTTGTTCAATGACATTATTTCATGCTGGCTTTTATTAAAGACGAAAAAATTAACATTTATTAAAAAACAAATTAAAAATGTTTTAAAGAATAGAACTATGCACAACACTAAAGATAAAAAAAAAAACAAATTGAAATATAAACAAATTGTGTTTATAACAATATGTTTTGTCTTGGCTTTTAGTGAATGATTAGAAACAGTAAGCTCCATAAATAGAACTACCAATTAATCATTTTTAACGATAGACACCAACAGGAAGGTAAGCCAACTGTCTATCAACACAAATCATCACAACAATATTACAACGATAACGCACAACAAAAGCACATAAGATATTTATAAGTACACATTACACTTGCTCTTTACAATGGCAAAGTCAAACCACTTTGAAACCACTGCATAAAATAGACAAAGAAACAAACTATAAACATATCGTCACGATCATAGCACAATCGTCTAGGTCATTTTTTTCTTGTTTTGAGAAAACTAAAAAAAAAAAATGAATAACTTCGGTATTTCTTTTGCTACGTCACTTTGGCTTATTTTTGGCATCTTTTTACTTAGATGCTTT